AGGAAAATGTTTGAGGGCCACAATTTTTATGGCTACAATGGCTCAAAACTGTCAAAACGACGTCGTTTTGGGTGCAAAACATGCCAAAACAACGTCGTTTTGGCAGTTTTGAGCCATTGTGGCCACAAAAATTGTGGCCCTCTAGCATTGTTGCATACACAAACATATCCTACACCTCTTAAACTACACAAGCACCCGTGCACACTTCTTTGAAGTCCACCTCAACACTTACATACACACACATACACAGATTTGCTCAATATACCCATACCCATTTACACCCTCAATTTTAAATTATTCCATAATTCAGTTTGTGATTAAGATTAACTTAATTCAGTAACAGTTAGTCTTCATAAATCTTGGTTTGTACATAATTAAATTAATCATAACTAATTACAAATCTCACATAATTTAATCAGTCTAATTTGACTTCCATTATAGCCCAATTAATTATATTTAAATTTATCTTTCTTAATCAAATATTTAATCAAACTCCCAAATGACTCCAAATATCAAATTAAAGTTATTTCCATCCTCAATTTTGGTTTCTTAAATCATTAAGACCTTCAATTTCATATTAGACTTCAAAATTTTCGTCAATAAAGTACCTATTCAATTGAACACCTCATAAATAAATTTAATTCATAATAATCTTAATTCTCAATCCTCATAACTTAATTAACTCCAATTCGGACCCAATTAATCAAATCTCAATTTTATAAATCTGAATCAAATATTTAATTAAACTCCCATATGGCCCGATACTCAAAATTAAAATAATTCAATTCACCATTTGTAATTTCTTAAGCCATTTAGGCTTTCAATTTCTAATTCCAAAATAGATCCTCAATAGAATCATATACGAATTAGTCTCCATAATTTTCATAAATTCCAGATTAAATTAGAATAATTGACAATTAAAATTCAAATCTTCTTAATTAATTAAGTGCTAATCATTAAACATGGTGGGGTCGTCACAAAGTGAGTTATAAATTTCTTTTATGGACTTCTTGGGCTAGAATACTCCTAAATAGGATTTATCAATAAAAACTCAAATTTTTAAATTAAAGGAGTTTTGATATAAATAGTTTAAAATTGATCATGTTTTCTTGATTATTTAAGAGTTTCTATATTTTTAGGCAAGTCATGTATGAACCCAAGTTTTGGAATTATAATTTGAAAGCTTGATTCATGTTTTAAAATTGGGTTTGATATAAAGAAAATGAATTACATCTAAATTTGGATAAATTTAGAAGTTGAGAATCAAAAATTGGTTCGATTTTGAATTAAATTTCATACATGCAAATATTTTTTCTAAGAGCTTTATAATTTTAATTTTATGTTTTATAAAACAAAAGAAGAAAAATTTTGAAATCATTGATTTAGCAGTAATTGATTAAGAAGCCAAGTAAGAAATCAATCTATTTGGAAAAGAAGGATTTGATAATGAAAGAATATGTGAAATGAGAATCCGATTCATTTGAATGATGAAAGAATAAGCGTAGCAAAATTTCGGATTACTTAAACAGTAAAAAGACAAGAAAAGTCAAGTTTGATCAAGGAAGTGATATTGTGTTTCAATGTGTATATGTTATGTGCTTGTGTAGGTCCCGCACTATCGTCTGTCTACTCTATCTAATCTGCTTCTAGAGCTATCTGTGAGTAACAACTTTGTAAAGATATGTTTGAATTATAAGTATTTTCTGAATTATAAAATGTTTTGTTTCTGAAATAATACTTTCTAACTCACTGAATGATTGTCCTGTTTTATGAATTGTATTTGTGGCATCCTTAGCATCTGTTACTGTTGCTGTTTACTACTAATGTTACAGAAATCTCTGTCAGTTCCAATTCTTGGAACTTCTATATACTGTATTGATGGCATGACTATCAATTCTGACTGTTCAGTCTTTATGACCTACTGTACTATTCTGCTATTGGATGTACCACGTATGACTGCTATGATTTTAATATGATTTGGCATATTATGAGATACAGATTTGAGAAATTGATTCACTGATGAAATTGATTGTTTTAAATTACTGAAAGGACATCATTCACTACCCCTTTACACTGTTGTTATTCACTAGGCTCCACCTTACTGTTTATGTATATATATGTAGGTGATCAAGTTCGTGACCAGGCTTAGAGGCATTTGCCTGGACTCTGTTTTTGTCAGCCAACCTAGGCTCCTCCTATGGAGATTCTGAATATGTCAAGTGGTCAGGTCTATGTGATTAAAGTTTAAGTTTTTGTTTATTCTGTATATAATGCTAAGTCCATTTTGTCTTATCTATATATATGATGACATAGAAATGATGTGCTAATATATGTATATAAAAAGTTTAAATATTTTATGTCTCATATAAGTCTGCACAGCTCAATAGACGATGGATGTTTGTATTTTGCTTCCGTTAGCCCCTAATATTATGTATCTGTTTAAAAGGTCTTCGGTAATCTTAAGATTATTGGCTGGTCATGATGCTAAACCTATAGGAGCGGGTTTGGTTCGTGACAACCACCGAGCATCAAATTCCAAAACCCTAAAAATCACTCAAACTCAAGCACACATGAGTCCAAATTCAATAGAAATCAAATCTAGAGAGAGACAGAGAGGAGATTGTGTTACCAAAGAATTTCATGTGATGCCTTTAGATCTGAGGGTGCAGAGATGGGAAAAGAATATATATATATATATATATAAATATATAATTTATTCAATTAAAGTTGAATTTAATTGGTTTTTTTAACAATGAATAGATATATATATATATATATATAAATATATAATTTATTCAATTAAAGTTGAATTTAATTGGTTTTTTTAACAAAGAGAAAAAAAAAAGGGAAAGTAGTGGGGAGATTGCTGAAGAATGAAGAAAGCTTTGTAGAGTGCTCTAGTCTACACCGCTTGTTTTACACATTCAATTCAAGCAAGCTGAGTTAGGATTCGGTGTTACTAGGACCATGCTATAAGTTAAGCATGTATTGATTTTACTGTTGATTTACGACTATGATATTAATTATCACTTGTATTAGTTACTGTTGATCTACCAAGGGTTGGTTGTGATGAAAATTAAAGTACATTTTTTACTACATGTTTGTGTAATCGGGAATTAAAGGTTGACATGGTTGGGCTGAACTGGGTAAATGGGCCGAACTAGGTCAGGTTAAACTATGAAATTAATCCTCATTGTCAGGTTTTCCTTTATCAATCCGAGTCGAGCAAGGATTAAAAAATTTAGGTTCCAATCTCGCACAAATAAGCTCGACCCAAAAGGGCTCGCAAGGTAGATGGATGTGTTTTAGACATTTTTAGTAGTATTTTTTTCTATGTTTTGCCAAGTTAACAAGTAGGTTCATCTCACACGAGCTAAGGTTTAAACTTTAACCACTAAGTCCAAGTCTAATTCAAGTCTTATTCGACCTAGTCTAGCCTAGGATATGAATTTGGACTAGATAATTGTTCAACAATTTGTGATTGAGTTGTGAGTTTTCAGATCAAATGATATCTTTTAATTGAAGTCGTAAGCACTAGATAGCTTCCAAAAATCATATTAAAGATGTGCATAGCTCATCGGTCTCATTTATGGACCTCCTAGGTATCTCATTTTTTATGTTTTAAGAAAGAAAAAAAAAATCCCGAAAAAGTTAGTGTCTATATATAATTTTTTTTTTTATATGTAAATATGCAAATAAGGGTAATATATGGTACCTACTCTCGAAAGAAAAATTATAATGTTTTGTGGTGTTAGTTGTACACTATCACAAATGGATGTATCATATAAAAACTAGTAGTTATGTGATTTTATTAAGAACATTTTGGTGTTTGGTACGAGACTTGTAATAAAATGAGGTGTAAAATGGCAACAGAGAGTAGTTAAAAAGGCTTGGGTGGTTCTGGTGGCTAGAGTTTTGGTTGAGCATCTCCAATGCACTAGGCATATAATACTTGTTAGTTAAAATGCTTAGTGTGATTCACTTTTTTCAATTCCAATGCACTAGGCATATGATTAGGCATTTTGGCTTAACTCATATTTACTAGCTACATGTAGCTAGCCTTCAACGCTAGGCAAAATATATTCAATCATTAGGATCATTTCCCTCCATCTTTGTTGTTGACGTGGCATTCTATAAAATTAATAGTATTTGGATAAATAGCTAAAATAAAGAGTATGGTTGGAGTAAAAACATAAAACAGTTGATAAGCAAAATAAAATATATACTTTATAGTAATATTTAGATAGGTAAAATGCCTACTACCGTTGGAGATGCTCAGAGTGTTGAGTTGAGTGAGGATGAGTTGAGGGTAGTGAAGGTGGATGGGAGAGTGACAAGTGTTACAACAATGAATAGAGAAGAAGCGGAAGTCGTGGGAAAAGGATAGCGCGACAGGAATGAGTGGGGAAGTGGTTGGGATACACTACAATAAATTGTACTTTTGGCGAGTAAATTTGGCGACTAAAAAAAATTTAGTCGTCAAAAGTTATGGAATTAGCGACCAAAAATTCTATTAGTCGGCAAAAGTACAATATTTAGCTACTAATTTTTTTTAGTTAAGATATATTGATTTTTGGCAACTGAAGAAAAATGTAGTCGCTAAAAATGCTACAATTGGTGACTTTTAGTCGCTGTATAATTAGTTTTCGCTACTAAAATAGTTTAGTCGCCAAATGAAAAACAAAAATTTACATTTTATCTTTGGCGACCAAAAGTTTGGTCGTGAAAAATTTATTTTCAGCGATTAAAAAATATTTTAGTTACTGTATGGTTAGTTTTGACTACTAAAATTATTTAGTCGTCGAATAAAAAACAAAAATTTATTTCATCGACTAAAAAAAATTTTAGTCACCAAAGAACTAAAATATTTGGAGGGAGACAGACATTTCAAATTTTGAAGGAATTTACAAAATTAATTAGCGACTAAAATGTTTAGTCGCCAATGATGTAAAATGACCAATAACACTATATATATTTTGTTTCCATACCAAGCCCTAAAACAAACCAACACCTCTCTCTCTCCTCAATGTCCTTCTCCCTCTCCCTCTTTGCTGCTCATCTCCCCTTTCTTTCTCACCACTGCTCCACCAGCCACGGAACAGCTCTCCTCCGCTACTCCTCCTGGCGTTCGCCGGCAATCGAAGCACTGATTCACCTCCTTGTTGGTCACCGTCGCCTGAGGTCCGTCACCCACGAAAGCTCGATCAGCGGCTCCTCCCTCACAAAGGGTGGTGAGACCGCTAGTTTCTTTCCACCATGATATATGCTTGAAAAACAAATCAAGAAGTCCACCACCACCGTCTCTGTTTTCTTTCTCTCAATCCCCAATCTCTCTCTGTCTCTACTGTGGAACCAAAATTAACCCCCAAAACGCTCTTACTCTGTACAAACTCTATTCACTCAGTTATAAACCCTAGTAAAACTTGCATTTCTTCAATCAAAAATGCAAGATATGTTCGGTTCTGTCCACCGATCGCTGGTGTTTCGTTCGCCGGACAGCGGTGGTAGCGACGAAAGGCACCACCGTCGGAACCCTAGTCGTTAAACAGGTCGATTCTTGTGTGGTTATTATGTTCTCAACACTTTTTTTCAATTTGATTTTCAGTTTAGATTTGACTTGCTTTTGCATTTGATTTTCGTTTTTGGTCTGGTTATATTTTATTTTAATTTTTGATAAAGTTTGAATTTGAAGGTTCATGCCATAGCTCTGTAGGATTGCCTCTGCATTGATTAAGCTATTGATTGTCTTGTTTTGATTGAGATATTGATTAAATTTTGGCTTTGGTCATACTTCTTGATCTCAAAAGGTGAATTGGAAATTCCTACAAAATTGATCTCAAGCTTGCTTGGAGATTATAAAACCTTGCAGATTTCTGGCTTTAATAACCCTACAATGTTAGTGAAATTTTTTATTCTCTTTGTTAAAGTAGCATTTATTTAGTGTAAAATTGTATGATTCCGTATAAAAGTGAAGTGTTCTTTATCCACTATTAAACTATTGTGTGTTTAAAATTCTTGTTCTATTCTTTCATCAAATCTCTGGTCAAAATGTATAGTTCATAGATGTGGGAGGTAAGTAGATATTCTCTAATAGTTGAGATGTTCTCTAATAGTTGAGATGTCTTGATGTAATTAACCTTATTTTTTATATTGTGTTGCTAATGGTAATCTGAGAAAATGAGATTATGGAATAATTGTTGGCCAACAAGGCTCTTTTAAGAAACCATGTCCTTTAGGCTTTGGTTATTTCAAAGAGGGCTATGTAAGAAATTCATTGGGCTCAACTGAAAGTCTATGATCAAGTTTTAAAAAGAAAGGCTTAGATTAGCAAGATTTGCCCCCAGAGAAACCTAGGAAGTACTTTCTAATTTCTAAAAAGAGTAATGTGATTATAGGACTTTGAATTATTGGACCATATTATAATCTTTTAATTTAGTTTTTTAAAAGAAAGATAATTGCCTTGTTTCATACTAAAGGAACTATAATATATGTCTCTGTAAGATTGATTTTTCCTTGAGACTTAACACTCATTATATTTTTCACCTTTTTCATGAAATTTATGTTGTCAGTGCTCTTGGGTTTATGTGATGTAATGTCTTGAGATATAACTGAAATGGACCTTAGATTTGAAAAATGGCAGAGAATAGATTGATGTAGCTGAACAAAAACTACTTAGTTAAGGGTTTACTGTGCAGTTGCGATAGTTTTAGAAATGTTTACTAGTTTTCACATTGCTCATTAATTTTATAAAATAGTCGGTAACTTTGCTTTAAAATAGGAGAAAATAAGTAAGTTGCATGTAATACTCACTTTTGTCCATGAATATTAGGTGGTTGTAATTAGGTTGTCTATAGTTTTGTTTTGCTTCTAGAAGCTCCGTGTTATCTCATGTCGCAGGACTAGAAATAAGGAAGGTGAAATTTTTTGAAGGAAACCTATCTCAGTCTGCTTTTTTATTCTATTTTTAAGTATTCCTTTCTAGGTATGGTGTTGTTGGTTAGCATGGGAAGAATATTTGTAGAGATGGTAGTAAGACACAAATTTCTGGTGCTGGTGCTGGTGCTGGTGCTAGTGCTGCTGACTCTGGTGTAAGACAGTATCTACAAAAGCTTTTAGATTGGCCAGATATGTGATACCACAAATTTCTATAGGTGGTGATAATTGTGGAATATGATTTCATTTTCTTTTATTTATTATATGCATTTGATTTGTTTAGATTGGGCAAGAGAGGTATATTTGCATTTCAGACATTGTTGAGTTTGGAACGCCTGCAACGCAATGAAGATAGTTTGGTCCTTTTCCTTTATGCTTTTTATGTTTCATTTGAATTTTTACCTACTTTCATTTCTTGAAGTGTTTTGATGAGAAATTTGACTTTCCTGAATGCATTGTTGTCGTTGCATCATATATAAATTTTTTCATCTTTATTATTGGATAAAATTTTATTACTTGTCTTCAAGTTTTTTCGTAGTTTTAGTGATTTCTTTTTTTCTTATCGTTTTCTCGCTTCTCTATTTTAACTTTTTTTGTGGATACTTATGAAATTAGGTTGTCAGTCCTGTATATAGCCCTATATTTCATTGGCTTACTAACTTGTTTTCTGCTACCAGGCACAAAAAGAAGAAAGCGAAAACAAACCCTGAGCCATCAGCTAAGCAAGGAAACATGGAGGGTTCACGGTTTACAACTTTCCTACAGTCATTTCTTGTTGTATTATTTGTGTTAATTCCTGCAAATAAAATGTTGACATTGTATTTGCACCTGGTTGCCAGAGGTGGAGAAGCTTTCTCTAGCAAATCGAAAAGAGTTGCTACAAAATCTGGTCAGTTAACGGTTAACTATTATCTTTGTCTTTGATGATTTTAGGAATAGGTAGGCATGTAAGAAAGTGGAGTTTTTGCATTTGTACGCGTATAGAAAAATTATATTAATAGGTACAAAGTTAGAACTATTAATTTTATAATTGTTATAATTTGTAGAGTATAATATATCAAAATTATTAATTTTATAATTGTTATAATTTGAAATGTCAGTTTTATTGAATAAGTGCTTATGTTTATTTTTTTCATTTTTTTACAGATTGCTTTTGTGTGGGTTATTGTGGATATTTATTTTTGTGTACGAAGAGCATTTGTTCTACATATGAAAGACATTTATTTTTGTACAATCCTCTGTTTTGGAAATCCAGTGTTTTTGTATATAATATTTAATTTAGATGGATTATACTTGGTTTGTATGAATTTATATGATATTTAGAATATGATGCTACAAGTTAAAGTTTTTGGATAGTTGATAATGAAATGGGTATTATTGGTAATGGATTTAGATTAATTGATAGATGTATTATTCTGTATATATACAGGTTACAGATTGCATTGATAATAGAATGCATATAATTTATAAATTAATGAAAAATATTTAATTTGTGCATTTAAAAAAAATAATAAATAGAGCTTTTGGTGACTAAACATTTAGTAGCCAAAAAATAAAAAGGGAACTTGTTGACGACTAAACAGTTAGAAGCAAAAAAAAAAAAAGAAAAAGTTTATTGGCGACTAAAAAATTAGTAGCTAAAAAGGAGTACCATGATTTTGTTGACTAAATATTTTAGTCGCTAAAACAAAAAGGCAAATTTATTGAAAATTTTAGGCTACTAAATTTTTAATCGCCAATTGGTGACTTTCGGCGACTAAAAGAAATCTTTGGTGACCAAAAAATGACTTTTTTAGTCGCCAAAAATGTAATTTGTTGTAGTGTATGAACTTTTGGCGACTAAAAAATTAGTTGCCAATTGAAGACTTTCAGTGACTAAATAATTTTTAGTCACCAATTGAGAACTTTTTGGCGACTAAAAAATTAGTCGCCCATTGAAAACTTTCAGTGACTAAATATGTTTTAGTCGCCAATACATTTCTCGACCAAAAAATTTAGTCGGCAAAATGTTTTGGCGACTAAAATATGACTTTTTTAGTCGTTAGAAGCGTAATTTGTTGTAGTGATACTAAGGAAGAGCCAAGGAACTCACAAAGGTATTGGACGATGGCAGAGAAAAGAGGACTTTTGAAATAAGAAATGAAAAAAAAAAGAAAAAGAAAAAAAAAGGCAATAGCTAAAGATTCCATGCTTTTTTAATTTTTTTTATTCTTCTATTATTGTTGTAATTTTTAAATTGTTTTTACTAATTTGTAAACAATCCGCCACCTTCCACTATTTGCTATTTTATCCTCTATTTTTTTTTTAAACATTTTGATTCATGTGGTGCATTAGAAAAGTTATTTGGTAGTCTTAGGGTACGGTCATGTGGTGGTTTAAGAGTGTTGTTTGTTATTGGTAGCGGAGGTCGAGTCCACAATTTTGTATTGAGTAATTGAGAAATAACAATGGATATGGTATATTGTGAATAGTGAGAACACTATCACGTGACATTCCAAGAGCACTAAATAATTTTTGGGTGCATTGAGAGTGTGGAGATGTTGCTACACCAATCATATTGTGGAACTAGAGTGATGTCACCCAAAGGTAAATTCATAGACCCAAATAAAACATGACCAGACCATAGGGGTGGTGGCCTGGTAGAGAACGCAATTCTCTTTATAGGTTCAAATTTTGGGAGTGTAAAAAATGATAGAATTTTTAGTTGGTTCTCTTTGAGACCTCGCACTGTACTCTGATCGATTATGGAATCTTCTGTGACGTGTGACTAAGCTCCATTGGTACATCAATTATAAGTCTTTTCTTATAGGTTGAGTTAAATCTGGTCGACAACCGACCATCCAAGGCAAGTGTCACGACCTCTATAGGTTTAGCGTCGTAACTGGCTGGTAATCCTTGGATTACCAAAGGTCTCTTAACAAAATGACATATAATAAGGGGCTGCGGAAGCAATTATAAAAATATACATTGTCCATAAAGCTGTGTTAACGTATATGAAACAGAAATCTTTTTAATAAACTTATATGTATGTGATGTCATAAATACATTAGTCTTACGTCACCCAAGCCACATATACAGAACTTCCAAAACATGTTCAAACAAAACATAAACATCAGAAAGTACAAAAGTCCCAAAGACTCAAAAACTTGATCAGATCTCAAAAAGAAACCTCTACGGGAGGCACGATGGCTGGCTGACTCCAAAACTCACCAGGCAGCAACTTAGGCCTAGTCACGCACCTACTCACCTACATACATAATATAAACGGTGAGCGAAAGCCCAGTGAATAATAACAGAGTAAAGGGTTTGATGAATAATGTCCATAACATATTCAAAAGTTAGAGTTCATATTAGAAATAGATTTATATTCATATTCTTGTTCAAGTTAATGACAGAAATCAGAATACATATTTGATTTACATCCATTAGCGCTAACAGATCACATACGGGGCATCGAAGATCATACTTGTCAGTTCCATAAAGAACCTCTAGTCGGGTACGGGTAACTTGTCAGTTCCATAAACGAACCTTCGAATTGGGTACGGATAACTTGTCAATTCCATGAAGGAACTTCCGGCCGGGTACTGATAACTCATTAGTTCCATAAAGGAACCTCCGGACCAGGTACAGATAACTTACTTGAGCTCCGAATACTTGTCAGAATTTGGACAATCATTCATTGTATAGAACATAATATTTCAGAAAATAGATCTTGTTTCATCATACAGAAAATAATTAGAGTTGAATATAGCTTTATTAAGTTATTACTCACAGTTGGCTTCAAAGCAAACAGACAGAGTAGGCAAATCAGATGTCTTGTGGCGCGTGACCTACACAGTCACATAAGGAACACATACTGAATTATACACTTGGAATCATTAATTTAATCATTTCTTATCTTGGTGTGCTTTTACTTTTTATCCTCATTATTATGCCTTAACTTTGGCCTAGGAATGCCTAGGATGCATTGAGAATGCTAAAATGTACTTGGAAACACTTAACAAAAATTACTAAAAACAAGGGTCCCACTCGAGCGGTCATGCAAAATATGAGTGGTCGCTCAAGCGCAACTTCTGCCGCTCAAGCGGTTTGTAAACTTCTGCAAAAGTATTGGTTGTGTGATTTTCATGTTCGACAGACGCTCGACGGTCGCTTGAGCATGAGACTCAGGTCTTCACTCAAGCGCAATTCTTGTCACTCGAGCGGTCTGCAAAAATGGTAAACTTCTGGAAGCGTGCATTTCATGCTCGAGCCAACTTTAGGTCACTCGAGCAAAAGTGCACACACTCAGAGTGGTCGCTCGAGCATAGGTTCCTTCACTCGAGCATAGGAGTAGAATTTTGAAATTTCTAGATTTGCTCCCAAGCTCAAAACTCCAATTCTAAACTGAAAGTCATGATCCTTTGGGCCAAAAATTGAAGGAAACTAGTGTGAACATGCAAAACAACTTGAATTGAAAATCAATTCACAAAATCAAGGCCCAAGGATAAGTCAATTATACAAAACCAAGCTTGAAGCTCAAAGAACATAACTTGAAGATAACATGCATGAATTTATATGAACTTAGACTCTCCAAAACATGATCAATTAAGGTCAAATGGTAAGAAATGTGATGAATTCTCAAAACCAAGTCAAGAAGGACACATGCATGTATGACTTGAGTGAAATTCAAACTCAAAATGCTATGATATATGCATGCATGCATGACATGGTTCAATTCTCTTCATTTCTAGCTTAATTCTTGCATTATCCATCGTAATTCTCTACAGTTCGTGTCTTACACATCATAATTGTACAATCTAAAGGTTGAATTCTTACCTAGGATTGTCAATAATGCTCTACATGATCAATTGTTAGGAGTTCCAAGCCAAATTCTCTAAGTTCTCTAGCAATCTTCTTAATTTGAGCTCAAACTTCTCCTCTCTCTCTCTCTCTCACATTTGGTTTGTGTGTGAGTTCAAAAATGTGTTAAGATAAAGAAAAGAATGAGTGCAGACACATATGAGAGCCTTATATAGGCTTAGCTAATGGTTTAATTGAATTGTTTATCAACTAATCAATTGACCATTAAATTATTCTAATTTAATCGTTCCGAACCGAATTTCAATTAAACCTATCATAATTTTCCAAAAATCTTAAATAACGCATAAATCAAGTCAATTTCGTAATCAGATGCCGATAAGGCCTTCAATTCGTAGAACGAAACAGAAATAGAAACAGGTATTTCTATGATAAATAGATATAAACGCATTAATGCAACATACACATGCAATTAATCCAGGATTTCACTTTAATTATTAATTAGGCTTATTTAATTATGAATTAACGTTAATCAGAGGTCGAGATTGTTACAGTCTTCCCCCCCTTAAAGAGTTTGGTCCTCTAAACTCGAAGTACCTTTATTTTGGAAGAACGTTGGGTTTAACGGAAACAAATATGAATATCTCTTCATCATATCCTCTTCTGTCTCCCAGGTTGCATACGTCCCTCCGTGGTTCTGCCAATCAACTTTTATCAACGGTATTTCCTTGTTCCTTAGTCTTTTAATTCAACGGTTTACAATTTGTATTAGTCTTTCTTCATACATGTAATTGTCTTTTAAAAGTACATGTGTCGGTTCAATGACACAGAGTGGATCTCATAAGTAATCCTGAAGCATTAAAACATGAAAAACGTTGTGCATATGTTCCATCACCGGAGGTAAGGCTACTCGGTATGCTACTAAGTTGATTTTCTCTAAAACTTCATACGGGTCAACGTATCTTGGTGCTAGCTTTCCTTTCACCCCAAATCGCGTCTGACCCTTCATTTGAGTTATTTTTATAAATAAGTGGTCTCCGACTTCGTATGCCCTATCCCTTCTCCGGATATAAGCATAACTCTTTTGAT